GATCTTGGGATAGGAACAGATATTTTAAAAAATAAGACATAGGAAAATACAGTCCACATAATGTAAATTTGACTACATTAAAATTTAAAAGTTCCATACAATAAAATCTACCTAAAGTACTGGCAACACAAACAACAAAGGATTAGTATTCAGAATATGTTTGAAATTTCTACAAATAATAAGTCAAAGACAAAGGACATGAATAGGCAGTCCATAAAAGAGGAAACCTAAAGAGCCACTAACCATGAACGGATGTCATCTCAAAGGAAATCAAGGAAATGAATTAAAAACAGATCCAATGCCATTTGAAAACTATTAATTTGGCAAAAATTAAAAATACCAAGGATGAGGATATGAAGCATAGTGGTGAGTGTAAATTGGTATAGCTGCTTTCATTAAAAATGCACATAATTTGTTATCTAGCAGTTCCATTTCTAGAGATTTATCCTAGAGAAATTCTTACATACATACACACACACACACACACACACACACACACACACACACACACACACACATATATATATAAAAGAAGGCATGTACTAGAATGTTCATCACACCAATGTTTGTGATAGTGAAAACTAGGAAATAAAACCTAAATGTTCATTAACAGGAAAATGGATAAATAAAGGTGTATTTATTTAAAGGAACTAAGCAGCTAAAATGAAATGAACTAGAGCTATGTGAATCTATTAGAACTGCATTAATATAGACAAATGTCAAATTATTGAATTAATACAAGTGTCAGATATGTGTAGAAGAATACCATTTGTAATTTTTAAAGATGTGCAGAATAATAATTTTTTTTTTATACATTCATATGTGCTAATAGTCTAAAAACGTACATGGCAGTAAAGACATCTAATTTAGAATAGTATTCATCTCTGGGAAGGGAAGAAGAGCAGTAAGATCAGGTGGTGATTCATAGGAACCTTTAACTATATGTATAATATTTAGGGGGAAAGAGGAAATAAGGCAACACCAAATAATATTTGGTCAAGTCAGATTGTGTGTGTACTTTTATGTTTGAAATATTGATTAGGAGATCTGATTGGTAAAATGAGAATCATCAGGGCAGAAGTGGAACTGTGGAGGTATATTTTGGTGGTAGAATCAGTTGGCCTTAGTAGTTTGGATATGGAAGATAAGAGCGAGACAGTGTTAAAGATGGCTTCCAGATTTTTGGCCTGAGAAATTGGTGGGTGATGATGTCCTTCATGAGAGAAGACGAAGACTGAGGGGGGAACAAGTTTGGGAAAAGATGGTACGTTCCATTTTGAATAAGTGTAATTAGGGAAGATGGCAGGTAAGTGGTTAACATATGAATTTAAGATCAAAAAGGAATTAGACTAGAAATAGAAAGTTAGGAGTAAATAGCAAGTCTGTGGTATTTAAAGCCTTAAGAATGGATTAGTTCACCCAGAACATACATAAGTATATGTAGTGAAAAGAAAAGGGACCCAAACCCTTTCCCAAGGAGTAGCTAGAAAACCAGGAGAGTGGAGTGTCATGGAAGCCCAGACAAGTTGGTGTTTCAAGTGGGAGATGTAGTTGGTTGGCAAATGCTGCTGAGAGTGTTACTGAACCAGGCCCAGTTTGCCCCCGCACAGTATGCCAATCACCGAGATGACTAGTTTTTCGAGAAAGGGTTTATTCACAAGGCAGCCAAGTGAGGAGACGAGAGAACAAGTCTCAAATCTGCCTCGTATCTGGGGATTAGGGATATTTATGGGATAATGGGGCAGGGTAGTCTGAAGTGTGGGGATAGATGATTGGAGATAAGGAAAAGTGAGGTAATAGATGATCTACGTAAGTGTAGTCAAGCTTTGTGGCTCTTCATAGGACACATGTTCACAAAATGGTGGCTTTAGCATGATCTGAGGGTGGAGTTTTTGGCCCCCCTGATGTCAAAGGGTCACCTATCGGACATTCTCGCATGCCCAGTTGATGGGTCAGTGGTCTCAACCAGCCTGAACTGGACAAAGGAGTCGATTCTCAGTTCCTGAAAAACAGCTTAAGCAACCTGACCTCAGTGGTAACCCCAGCATCAGAGATGTTATCTCTAAGGTGGGAGTTCTGATAATACATTGCTTATCTACATGACTTTTAAGAGTAATCATTAATGGCTATCTGGCCACCCGTTTCAGGAGGGCTGCAAAAATCAGTCACTCTACCACATTTCCTTATTTTATCTTCCTAACAGCAGTGATCCATACCTGAAATAATCTTACTTATTTTTGTTCATGTTTGTCTCCACATACTTGCATGTAGACTTTTGAAGGCAAGACTGCTATCTTTTCTGAGCCAGGAGAGTGTCTGGCACATACAAGGCACTCAAATATTTGTTGATGGATTGACTTGCTAGATACTCTAAGAGCTAGTTATTTCCTGCTACTAGCCTTTCAGCATTTAGTGTTTAAGAGCACAAGTCGAGAGATGGTCACGTTTTGGGATTTCTTATTTTGATAGGCTTTTTATGGTGAAGTTAAAGAAAATTTAATGTTGAAAATGTACAAGACAAGTAAGGAGGTTTAAAAATAGTCTTATCGGATCCTGTAAGAATTCACACCTTGCTTAAGCTTCAGCACACCTTCCTTTCTTGGCTATTGTGTTATTAGCAGATCTGCAATAGAATTTCCAGTTTTGTGTAATGGAGGAGAGACTGTACAGTTTTTAAGAGACCAGTTGTTAAACCTTGAGTATTAGAAGTTTAGAATGTTTTTAAATTTAGAATGTTTGTATTTGATGCTTTGGGGGGAATACATGAGAAGTAAGATATGATATATAACCAAGGAATTCTGTCTTTTTCTTCAGGATGTGTCTAGTAGTGGGTGGCACATGGTAATAATATTAATTAACATCCTAAATTTACTGTGTGCTAGTTACTTTTCTGAGCCCTTTACAAGTATTTACTTTTTCATCCAAAACCGTCTAAGGTAGGTGTTAGTATTATTGACCTAATTTTATAAATCAAGAAAATTGAGACCAGAGAAGTAAAGTTACCTGTCGAGGATCACATGGCTAATAAGTGGCAGAGCCAGAATTTGAACCCAGATATTCTGATGTTGTCTCTCCATAAGCACTCTCAGTGTTCTTGACTGAATGCTGTTCAGAGGTCACTTCCTTGGAGAAACGTTCCCTGACAACTGCCGTGCCCTGCCCCGCTCCAAGGCAGTTAGTCCATAGTTGTAGAATTTGAATACTCATCTTTTAGAATAAAGCTTGGCTAATTTTTACAATGTGTAGAATGCATCTTTTTGACTGTAAAAGTTGATCATGGTGCTTTTTTATCTTCTAGTGAAAGGCAAAGAACAAGAGAAGACCGCAGATGTCAAGTCAGTTAAAGGTGAGTTCAGTGGCATTTCATTGTATTAAAGTGATATGCTTTGCGTTTATGAGCTCTTTTTTTTTTTTTTTTTTTTTTAAGATTTTATTTATTCAGTTTTTTCCCCCCAAAGCCCCAGTAGATAGTTGTATGTCATAGGTTCACATCCTT